CAAAACCCCAAAACCCCAGCTGCTTTCATTTAGTTATATAAATAGAAATAATAATAATTGAGTGTAGCATTTTTAAATAAATTAATTTAATATTTTGAGATGGCCAGAATAGTTGTCTGTTTAAAAAGTATACTACGGCTAATAACCTTTGGGAAGTATAGAACAAATTTGTATTTTAAGAGGTCTTAAGATCATTCCTCAATACTCGGAACAATAATAAGTATCCTGTCCCTTGGCCTTCTTGCTTACTTAGCAATCAATGTATTCATAGATATTTACAAAAGAAAATCAATTACCATCAATCAGAATAAGACTTCACCTCCAAATATCTGATTAAACCCAATCGATTTGTTCAGACACTTGCAATGGGATGATTTCCTATTTCAGATTAATATTGATTATAACCTAACTAGTTTCGATAAAAGTAAGTTTGAAAAGTACGATTTCAAAAACCAATGCGGAGGCTATTAATGTTAAATTCAATTTCAAGATAAAATAGACAAGGATAATTTCTACTAAATCAACAAGTTAGACTGTAAAAATACAATGTTTTAATTCGATGTTTATAATCCATAATTGTTTGCGTAATATGACTTTAAACTTCCAACAGAATTCTTTTAGCAAAAAGTTGATAAGAGTTTATATTATGTTGGAGACAATGAATTATATTTCAATTGTACATGTATCATTCTAGAAATGTGTCAATTTTAAAGCCCTAATGATTTCAGGATATCTTGGTATTAGTCAGTTGCAGACTTTAGATATGATCCAGATGTAACTTTTTTCGCACCTTCATTGTCTTAATTCATCTTTGACCCTTCTTGAAATGAATATTATTATCAATCATTTACAGATATTCATCCGTTTGTCATTAAATCTACAGATCAAATAATATAGTACAATCTGGAGTATTCTTAGGACAACAGACCAGAAATATAGGAAATTTATTCAGAGCAGTTAGAAGATATAGAATTTATAATACCATATTAAGCCTCATTTTTATTTAATTTCCTGAATAATCGTGATTCTATTTCAGTTGATGTGTATACTGAAACTCCAAGAAGTATTGCTAGTGGGTTAACATAGATTGGAGCTTATTTTGGTTGGATTGGAGTGTTTATATCATTGATATTCTTTGTTAACAGATACTTTTAAAATAAGCTATAGATTAAATATCTTAAGGAATAGCTTTAAAAGGAATCAATTTAGAAAACTGACGCTATTCGATATCAATAATTTTATTCATTTGAGTCATTTGTTGATCTTAAACTAAAAGTTAATGAGATGTAAATTTAGTTGATGGATTTATAGTAAAATGGAATTTCTAATGACTCTCACGAAAGTTCGAAAAATAAAAATTAATAAATTCCGTATTAACAAATTTAATAAGATTCTAATAATGAGGAGTCTTAACTAATTGAAGTTGAAGATTTGATTTGATAAGTTTTAATTATAAATTTAATTTATTTACGTTACCAATATATATCCAAAATATATTCTATCGGGGTTTTGGGGTTTTGGGG